TGGGGGAAACAAGTAGAACATGGCTGCCAAACATACGGCCCATGGGCTGGAACTGGCCCGCTAGGGTCTTAAATTGGGCCCACTTGATTAATTTTGAAAATAAGAAAAAAATACACCAAAAATACTTCATGTTCAGGATATTTTGTTTTTGTAAAATTATGTTTTATTAAATATGAATAAATATATAATACATGCTGTACTTCTCTGCATAAAAAAGAGGGGAAAACGTGGACTTATTGTTGTACTGATCTGGCCCACTTGACATCTAATCAGGCGGTATGCGGCCCGTGAACCAGAATGAATTTGACTCCCCTGAAGTAGAACCTTTGAGTCCAAGGTTAAAGTCCGGAGGCTGAAGTGGTGCTGGAGTCAAACCTGATGATCACCATCAGCAGCAGCACAGGTTTTGACACCGTCAGTGCGCTAAGCCTTTAGCTTAAATAGACTGTGATTGGTGTTTGTATAACGGCTCCTGAGTCAGCAGAATTCACAGCCAGGCACACGACTGATGTCACGTTTCTGGTTGCTTAAAAAACAAATGTCACGTCAAGCCACGCGCTAATGCTGCTAATGCTGCTAATGCTGCTAATGCTGCTAATGTCCGCTGCACACAAGTGAAGATGTTTTAAAATCAAGTTTTCAGGACATTTTTTTATTTATGTTTTTTTTCCGGGGAGACAAACCGTCGTCCATCCAGTGTGTTTCCTCGCTGAACTACTCCTAGCGAGTCGCCGCGGTGCTAACTGCTGCACCAAAGGTACTTTGTTTTGTTTGGATGAGCCCTCTGGGTGCTTATTAGCTGAGATCAAGCGGCTGTTCAGAAACTAAAGGTCAGGCCGTATGAGCGGGGAGAACGACTTCATAGTTCAGTTGAGGAGAAACAAAAACCCAACAAGTCTTTAGATTGACCTTCACACAGAACATGGCCGTCCGAAAAAAAACACGAAAAAGAGTCCGCAGGATTTAGCTGTGTGGAAACGATGCCCCCTGTGGACAGGGGTTTGGACTCTTCTGCTTTTATCCAATCAGATCCAACTATAAAACAAAACAAAACAAAAAACTTCAAACCACGAACCAGGTCTGAGACGGTGTGTGTGTGTGTTTATATTTGTAACACCGTGGTGGTAGCAGATTGTGTTCAAAGGTGCGGACTGACCTTGGGAACACGAGCCAAAGGTTGATTAACATAAGATTTTCTTTGTGTTTGGCAGTTTTATTCGGTTAATACTCTGGTTTTATCATGGCGTTGTGTTCAAAGTCAACAGGAAGTTAGCCAAAATTCGAAGAACACATTTGTGTTTCCAGAATCGTATCAAATCATTTTGATCACAAAATTGGGGATTCTAATTGATTTCATAATCATGCAGCTTCTGAACCTCGTTGTACTTTTTGTTTTTTTACTCGTCGTACTTGTGTTAAATCTCTGCACTTTATTGTACTTTTGACCTACATACTTTTAAACGCTACACTTAGACAAAGAAAACATTGAAAACATAGTTTTTTGTGTCTTTATATTGTTGACATTCATATCAGGTAACCAATCACCAGGTTCCTGACACCTGGGTCACGCCCTCTAACCTTTAGCTGCACATACATTCTTTCTTTGCAGCAAAACCTGCAACGCTTGTGTTACAAGACCTGAGAGAGCAGCTGCTGGAACTGGGAGGAACTTAGCTTTTAGTGTCAGTTAGACTGAAGGAAGTTGGATTTGAATGTGGTTCCATGGGTCAGCTGTGACGAAACCTCCCCCCCTCCGTTTCACCCTCTCTCTGGTTGTTTGCCATGTGAATCATCTTGGCTTCCGCGTTTCCAAACCAAACGTTTAGACCGTGTTTGTCAATCGGCGCCTGCTCGGGGCTTTTCCTCAAATCCCCTGGGTTTTATGAGCAGATCTGAGAGTTAAGACGTGAAAGGTCGCGAGGTCAAGTAGATCTACTGGCGACACCGAGGCTGATGAAAAACAAACAAGAGAGGAGCGTCAGTCTCTGCTCCACACTGATACTCTGACAACAGGCTAACTGCTAATACCGGCTAGTAGCAGCTTTCACCTGTACAAACACAGGAACTGCACAAGGTTCTTTCCAGTCATTAACACCTGCCTAGTTTGGATTAGATCGTCATCGACATAGAGGTTGATGCTAAGTCGATGTGCATTTTGTTTAAATGTTCTATGTATTTCTAAGTACTGTTAACAAAATCACAGCTGTTGGTACTTCAAAAACTTTAGGCCAAGACGATGGTTGACATTTCACCACGTGTATTGTCTCTTTGTTTTTTTTACTATTGTTGTTTTCACCACCTGGAACCGACTCCTTTTCTGATTCGCAGTATTTATTTGTTGCTTTACAAAAGAAAACTGTTTATCTCTGGTAAAAAAAAAGGAAGTACATTGTTACAGTGTGACATCACAGCTGGAGTTACGCTGATCTGAACAGTGTAACGTTTTTGTATTGTTATGTAATTACAATACAGTTCATGGTCTGGCATTTATTTCCACTTTGTGAAGCTCATTTGACCCGGGGTCATCGGGGGTGAGGAGCTGCCGTAGACAGAACTTCTGATGTGATATAAACTGTGTATTATCTGACAGGCAACAGTAGACGGGCAGCGACGGGTGACATGATCACTTCGGGATAGTTCTTTCAGTCATGTCTTGGATTAGAAGCAGCAGGACGTACCGGGAAGTGAACGCGGCGCCCACACGATGCCTGCGGTACCTGTGTTTGTAAGTGTTTTTGATTATGGTCGGTGGTTTGGTGACTGGACTGGAGTCGGGCTTCATCCCTGTGGTGATTTTATTTTTTTTTTTTTTTTCTACCTTTTTACCTCTTTTGCAATTTCTCCATTTTATTTCTGAAATGGAAACAGAAACAGAAACCCAAAGAAAAGCGGGTTCTGCTGGTGTTTGGATCTGGCGACCTCATGGTGTGTGTGTGTGTGTGTGTGAATATTTCCCTCCTCTGGATGTGAAGGTTTTGGGTCGTTTGATAGTTTTTCTACTGGAAGTTAGTGGTTTAAGTGCTTCACTAAACTCTACTAAAAAGTTTTGTCGACTAATTTTCCGCCTGTTTCTGTTCAACCCACACGAGTCCACCTTTCTGCCCCTGTTGGAAGTGAAGATGAAAATACTTTTATTTTTGTTGTTCGTCTACGTTGTGCAGTTGTCTCAACAGAATATTCAGTAAATCTTAGTTTACCAATGCTGTCGTACATCACTGGTAAAAAAAATAAAAATATAAAAAAAAGTCCTTTTCTATAAAAGCCCTTGAATGCAGAGACTCTTGATCTGAAGGACGCAGCCTCGAGTGCATCGCAGTCGGAAAAATGTGCATTCAAATCTGAGATTTTCTCCATTTACGTCGAGTGAAATTAAAAGATTAAAATATAAGATGAAAGAACCCCCCCCCGCCCTCACCCTCACCCTCACCCTCAGCCTCACCCCCACCTCCCCTCCTGTGCTTCCTCTCTTTTAGCTTCCCTTCACTTCTCTCTACATCATTAAAAGAGAGAGAGAGAGATGAGTCTTTTATTCACCCACCGTTTCCTTCACTTTGTCTTTCAGGCTCTCAGTGTGAGAGTCGGGGGAGAGCGGATGTGAAGAGGAATTAGACATGACAGACGACAGTGGAGTGAGAGTTTCAGGGAGGGGGGGAGGGGGGGGGGAGATAAAGTGGCAGAGAGATTCAGTGATGCCAGACCAGATCCCACTCCACTCCTTCTCACGGGCTCGCCGGTTCCGTCAAGTTTTCTGCATCGCAGCAAGTCGGCCCAACGATAAATCAGATCAGTCGCCACAGCTACAGCTACAGCTACAGCTAACCTCGCTATTTTCTGTTTCTAAGTGGAGGAAATTTGTTGAATTTCTATGGTAAAACCTGGTCTTCAGTGAAGAGATTTATGTCATAAAAACATAATAATGACCAACGTCCACTGCTCTGCTTTAGTCCAAATATCTGAGTCATTAATTTCATTGTAATGACCTTCACTTGTGCTCATATTAATTTCCCAGCATCCCAGTAGGTAAATGTAATTACAGCCGCCCACAGACAGAGACGGTCTGATGTCCGTCTGTACCACAACAACAGCGTTAACCCACTTTGACTCCCACTCTGTCCTGGTGATGTGATCACCCCTAATAAAAAGCTGCAGGACCAAAATTAAGTCAGTCCGTTTGGGTCGAGTGGTCGTCATGGTCCTGTCTGTGGACGGACAGGGGTCACAGACAGGGGTCACAGACAGGGGTCACAGACAGGGGTCACAGACAGGGGTCACAGACAGGGGTCACAGACAGGGGTCACAGACAGGGGTCACAGACAGGGGTCACAGACAGGGGTCACAGACAGGGGTCACAGACAGAGCTCCGTGTGTGTCAGTCCATGTTGAGTTTCTGTCCAAGGACATGTACTGTATAATCCAATACCATCGGCCAACTGGTATTATTGGTTAGCCGATATTAGCAAAATGATGTAATATCGGTAAGAATCGATAACGTAATGCTCTGTCTTTAACCCAAACAGCTGCATACATCGGTATCAACGTCGATATCGGAAATCGGAAGTTTAAGCGTTTGGACAATTTTGCCATATCAGATATCGGCAAAAAGTAAATATCGGACATCCCTGTGTAAAATTATGAACTGTTTCACCAAAGATCATATAGATGTTGTTGTTGTTGTCGTTGTTGTTTTCCCTCGGCCTGTGTTAATGGTCGACACAGTCTAACAGAGATTCAATCAGTGTCAACATGAGGTGATGGATGGCTGTGGAGATCACGTTTCTTTGCTGCTCATCTGAGCGACGGTGAAGCTAACGGAACGTTCCACGACACTTTCACTGCCGCTCATCTACATCTTCATTCTGTCCTCGGCCTCTGGTTTCTTTAACAAGGGCTTATTTTGAGAGGGGAAACAATGGAGTAGAAAAAAGGTCATGAAAGGTCATGGTCGGAGGTTGTTCCTCATTGGTCCTCCTTGGATGAATATTGTTTATTTTCGTTTGCAGGATGAAAATGCGGCGGCACAGGGTGTTCTTGCTGTGCACGGTGGGCCTGTGCGTCATCTCCTTCCTCCACTACTACAAGGCCCTCCACTATGTCTCCCTGCTGCGCGAGCTCTCCGCTCCCTACCCCAACATCAAGTCCTTCATCATGGTCACGGGCTTCTTCTGGAGGGAGAAGGGCGTTTCAGCTGCACCGCTCAGCCCGGCGTCTCCGGAGGAAGCGCCACCTTTACCTGCTCTCCGTCAGTCGGAACTCCAGTCTAGAGGCGGGGCCGGTTCTGCGGGAGGAGGGAGAATTGGTAACGTCGTAGAAGAAGGACCGGGGATGGAGATGAGGCAGAGAGATCTCCCGGCGGCTCCTCACCCCTGGGAGAAACCAGAGGAGTTTCTGAGAGGAGACGCTGCAGAGCAGGTACGGTCGATAAAGGACAATGAAACGTAACTCAGTTACTTTTCCTTTTCTGGAGAAGGGTTTTGTTTGTGTTGACAGTGAAGGTAATAGTTCTTGATCAGAAGTGAACGAGGTGACATCAACAGAACCGTACTTCAGCACAACGTTTCAGAAACTTGTCACCGTATCATTAATGTTCTCTTTGACTGAAATAGAACTCGATTTACTTCCAAGAACCGTCACAGCAGATGGAAAATCTCCAACTAAAAAACAAAAATATAAAAAGAAATTCTGACCTTCTCTAAATTAGGGATAAAAAGAATCACAATAAAACTGCACTCTAGAAATAAGCAGTTTAAATAAATAGTTCTAAAAACTAAATAGATTTTTTTCAGTGGGTTTAATCTTTTTATTGGTCGGGGTTTCTGGGTTTTTCAACCTTCACTTGTTTCTTCTTTTGAACCTTTGAGAAAGAACGCCGTGTTTTTTAAAAACGTTTGTCACAGGTCACGTCGTCGTGTATCGTTTAATGTTTGACAACAACAAAGCGTTTATCAGCAAATGGAGTGGTTTTATTGTTTTGCTGTGTATGCTCAAATATTTACAGAGTATATTTCACTGGGTTTTTTTTTACGAATTTACGATTAAACATGAATCATCCGGGCGCGACAGTCAAACAATGACAAGCTGCTTCATGACTCAGGTGTTAGGAGGGCAATAAAAGGTTCCTCTCTAAATATATTTTATATTCCGTTTTGTTAGTACAATAAACATCTACTACATTTCATAAGATTATAAAAAATACATTACCATATTTTCCTCACTTTTTTCAGTTTTTTTTTTACCTTTGTTATTTTCACATTGACAGCCGCTAGAGGGCACTCTAGCTGGCTGGTGCGACTTATAATCCGAAAAAATATCCAAACGTTTTTGTACTGATCCAGTTCTGATCAAATTCATAAAGTCTAACTGTCCAGATGCCGTAGGTTTAGTTTAAAGGGCTAGCCCACAAATTTCGTCAGTGAAGATCTGGAGATATTTATCCGATGTCCGTTGTTGTCCTCAGTTTTTTTTTTTTTTTCTCTTCGTCTTTCAGGAGAGACCCAACCAACCCGCCGGTCCTTTCCTCCCAGAGGCCCCAGAGGATCACAGGGTCGTGTTTCCCAAGGAGAAACACCGCGACCCCATAGAATCAATGGGCGATCTGCACAAACGTACATTCCAGCTTCACGACGACAAGACTTCGTACTTTGCCCGAACCAAAGCTGGAGCGCTGTGCTTTCGACAGGGGACGGAGGTGGCTACCAAGGAGTACACTGGGAAATCAGGGGGCGCGGTGACCAACGGAGCCGGCGAAGGTTCTTGGACCGGGGCCGGTGGCCAACGCAGGATTCTGGAAGTTCAGCAGCAGCCCTCCGTTGCACCGAAGGCCAAGATGAGATCGAGAGGCAACGGGAAGCGGCTGGTGAAGTGCGTGTGTCGATCAGGGTGGCACGGACCCTACTGTGGCGTTCCCACCATGGTGTATCACTCCAATCTGCCGACCAAGGAGAGGCTGATACCGAGAGAGACCCCGCGGAGGGTGATCAACGCCATCAATGTGAACCACGAGTTTGACCTGCTGCACGCACGATTTCACGAGCTCGCCCAAGCCGTGGATGTGTTTCTCATATGTGAATCCAACTTTACCGCCTACGGCGAGAGACGGCCCCTGAGGTAAGACCAACATCTGGACACCGAGGTCTGAGGAGGAAAAATAAATCTAGAAATGTTTTAATGTTGGTGTTAATTTAGAAGTGTTCTAGGTTTAGATTTAGAATTAAAAACTTACTACGTTTTAATGTTGGTGTTAATTTAAAATGACTATTTATAACTAAAGAAAATCCAGTCTGTTTTTCCAAAGCTGGAACAGACCAAATGTGTAATCTAAGAAGTCTTAATTTAACAAACAACTCTTTCACTCTGTCCCCACTGAAGGCTGCGTTCTGTCATTTTTGCAGTTGTGCGGAAATTGCACTAATTTCTAATTGAATTTCCTGGTGGTGGTCTGTGAGACTTGAATTGTTTCGGTGGGGATTTCTTTTAAATTCTGCTCTGAATCATTGTTTGGAATATAATGAGAAATAGTTTGTGATTCACCACAGAAACTAAAAGAGAAACTAGAAACACAACGATGAGAAGAGGAAGTAACAACCGTTTATTTGTTCCTTAATAAACGCAGCTCATGTGGCAACAAACCACGGAGTGAACGCAGAACACCACTGAACTGTGTGCATTTTAACTATCACTGAAGTCAGCAGGGGGCAGCACAAGTGGTGTGGGGACGGTGCCTTGCTCATGCACCTGGCAGCTGACAGATTCGAACCTGAAACCTTCCGGACCAGGACGTGCTTGCTTCCTTAACCATCAGGCCACCACTGCCCCCTTTTTTTAAAATTTTTTTTTGGTACAATAACGCCATTCATCTTTATAAATATTATTATGTAATAGTATATATGTATATATATATTATATTAGAAGACATAACCTGAGGCCGGACGGTGGTGTTAATGACCAGTCCTCGCCTCAGGGTCGATTTCACAGCTGATTATAACAGCAGCGACGTGATCGACGCCGCGTTCAGCCCTGAGGGAGATCGGTGCGTTCCATCATAGAACGTGACATCTTCCGTGGGCGTCGCGGCGCCTGTGCGTTTATCACAGGTTAATTGAGTCGAGTCTTCCAGTCAGATTTGTGTACAGTATCGGACATTGAACGTCTGCGGTGAAAGGCCAACGTTGTTGAACCTCAGACGTGTCGTTACCTGCTCCTCAGTTTGGATTCCACCACCAACCTGCACTTCCTCTTTTTGCATTTTATTTTACTGTGGTGAAAACACACAATTCAAGTGGTTAAAACAGTTTGTGGTTTGAAAATTGAACAGATATGTTCTGAGAGTGTGAGTCACAACAGTTTCTTCTTCGCTTTTTGAAGGAATAATTAGATTGGTTTTTTTTTGAAAAACAGATTTCTCTTTTTTTTTTTTTTTTTGTAATTATTTCTGCCCTACATTAACCTGTGCTTCAGTTTCTTGGCAAAAAAGAAAGAGTGGCTTCACGTCTATAATCAACTTTATTTTTACTGCAGCGTCTCTTCTCTCTTTTCATGTGGTGTAAATCTGTTTTTCGGTTGTTCAGTTCCACGGACCAGCAGGAACATTTATAGTCCCTGGAGATAATTGGCATTTTAAGAAGAACAGGCTTCACGTGGGTTCATCAGGTTACTGCTGTAATCAGCTCATATCGTCGGAGCGGAGTTTAGGTGTCAGCTACAGCTGCTTCTTTTACTTCACACACACCTTCAGGTTTAGGTGTCAGCTACAGCTGCTTCTTGTTGTCGCTCTGGTTTCCTCTCTCGGCCTGATATCGTCATAATTAAGTCATATCTGTATGAAATCCTTATCAAATACTTTACCGGTTCCAGGTTCCTGCAGCTCCTCCTCAATGGTACCTACGACTACATACGGCACAAGATCCTGTATGTGTTCCTGGACCATTTCCCAGAGGGCGGCCGTCAGGACGGCTGGATCGCTGATGACTACTTGCGCACTTTCCTGACTCACAACGGCATGTCGAGATTGGTCAACGCCAGGTCCGACGACGTCTTCGTCATCAACGATGCCGATGAAATCCCGGCGCACGAGGGACTCATTTTCCTCAAGCTGTTCGATGGTTGGACAGAACCCTTCGCCATCCACATGCGAAAGGTAGCTCGTTTGTTTAGCACGATGTTATCAGAATATTTACATTTGTTTTTTATACATTCACTCAAACGTTGATTTGTCATTTTCACATTTTCTCTCTCTCCCAAATCTAGTCACTGTACGGATTTTTCTGGAAGCAGTTTGGCTCTCTGGAGGTGATTTCAGGTTGCACGGTGCGGATGCTGCAGGAACTTTATGACAGTGACGGTATTAAACTGCGGCGACGCGAGTATTACTCCATGCCCGGTTTCCGTAAGTATGAGAACGACACGGGCCACATTCTGGTGCAGTGGTCGCTCGGGAGCCCCTTCCACTACGCCGGGTGGCACTGCTCCTGGTGCTTCACGCCGGAGGGCATCTACTTCAAGCTAGTGTCTGCTCAAAACGGAGACTTCCCGCGATGGGGCGACTACGAGGATAAGCGAGACCTCAATTACATCCGTGATCTGATCCGGACGGGAGGTTGGTTCGACGGCTCCGTGCAGGAGTACCCTCCTGCGGACCCCAAAGAGCACATGTACGCCCCTAAGTACATGTTGGAGCACTATGACAGATACTCTTACCTCCTAGAGAACCCCTATGCTAAAGCATCCAGACTGAGCGAGCGTTAGGAGGTCGGCCGAGCAGGGGACCCCCTGGTGGACGGAGCTAAGCGGTACTGATGAACTACATGACTCTTTGGAAAGATACTTCCTGTCTCTCCACCAGGCAGCACTCATGTTGCAGGGATTTAAATATCTCTTGATATTTTCTTTTTTCGTTCGGAGGAAGTGTGAAAAATAGGACCACGAAATAACATTTCACCATGGATTAAAGGAAGGACACGTAGAGGAAACAACCACTGGAAAACAACAATTAAAGATTTCTTCTTTCCTTCCCTTTGAGGGGAGGAGAGTCAAACGATGTCTCCGTATGCCGTCCCTCCCCTGTCCTCCCATTCTTTCTCCCAATCTGATTGGACGCGCCTGCTGTCTGATGCAGGCGACTGAAGCCAGTAGGGCGGAGACAAAAACCACGGGGAGGACTGTTTTCTTTCTGTCTGTCTTTGCTTACGTTTACAAACGGCCTGATGTTCACACTCCACTCTTCGCCTTCGGATGTCTTCCTGTCATGTTTGACCTCTTCCCAGATGCAGCCATGCTCACACACACACACACACACACACACACACACACACACACATACACATGGTCCCTGGTAGAAAAGTCATGAAACGTATTTAAGTCCTGTCGGAGCGCCCTCTGCCAAATGATTCTGAACAACTCCACGGAGTTTAAACTGAGCGCCGGCTCGTCCACGTGCACCTTACACCTGACCGAGCGTTCGGATTTGTGTGTGTGTGTGTGTCTTTGATTTGTCCGTGCGTCGTTGTTGTTGTGAGATTTTTTTGGGGCTGTGATCGAGGGAGTCCATCAGTCGGGGGAGACGGGTGAGGCAAAAAAAAACAAAGGGATTCACACCAAAGAGAGAGGTGTGAAAAAAGAATGAAAATGAAATTGGTGAAGGCTCGGAGGATCCTGATGTAGGGGGGACCAGGGGATTCAAAGAAGCCGCTCTGGACGCTTCCTTCCTGCCGCTTGTGTTTGTTGACGCTTGAGGGATGTTGTCAGATTGAAGGAGCAATTACAAACAGAACAAACGCCGCTCTGTCAGCGCTGCTTCGTCCAATGAGATTAAAAATAGCAGCGAGAACTCCCTGAGTTCTGTCTCGGCGTCTAGAACCTGGGTCGACTTTGTTTCCTTGGAAACTACAGTATTTAAAAAAAGGGAGGGGGGGCATGAGTGAGGCGGGG